AAGGGATGTGGAGTACAGCCTAAGAAATATAGTCAATGATATTGCAATAATTATGTGTGTTGTGAGGTTGGTACTTGAAATACAAGGTGATCAGTGTGTAGAATATATGATATTCTGGCCACTAGGCTGTATATTTGAAACTAATACACAGTAGTATTGAATGTAAACTGTGATTGAAAAATAAAAAGATAGGCACATAAGCAGAGGTGAAGAAACAATTAGACATGTTCAAATTATGTCTAATTTTTACCTAATAGTATCTCTGAATGGTAAGAACATGTCAATTTTTTATTTGTTATGTTTCTTTGTAGCTTCCTCATTTCATGTGTTGAACATGCATTAATTTTGTAATTAGAAAAAACAGCAATTTCAAAAATAAATTTAATTGTGGATTTTTTTTGTTGTACCGTCTACTCTGGGGGTCTAGGGGATGATGAAATGTGACTTAGGTCCTAGCTGGTTTGGTTCAGTGGCTAGAGCATCAGCCTTCGGACTGAAGGGTCCCAGGTTCAATTCCAGTCAAGGGCACATGAAATGTTGTGGGCTTGATCCCCAGTAGGGGGCATGCAGGAGGCAGCTGATCAATGATTCTCTCTCATCATTGATGTTTCTATCTCTCTCTTCCTCTCACTTCCTCTCTGAAATCAATAAAAATATATATTTTCTAAAAAGAAACGTGACTTGGACTGCCAAAAAAACTATGTCAATCAGCCCTAGCCAGTTTGGCTCAGTGAATAGAGTGTCAGTCCTCAGACTGAAGGGTCCCAAGTTCAATTCTGGTCAAGGGCATGTGCCTTGGTTGCAGGCTACATTGGGGTGAGTGGGGGAGGCAACCCATCGGTGTGTCTCTCTCAGAGCAATATTTCTGTCTCTCCTTCTCCCTTCCATTTTCTTTAAAATTCAATAAAAAAATTATATCCTCAGGTGAGGATTTAAAAAACACACTATGTCAATTGAATAAGAATATAGTGATGGTTGATGCTATGTTCTACTCAGGATCTAAATGGCAACAGAACATGCTTCATTTTTGAAACTCCTGATGCTATCAGGCCTTTGATGGAGTTAGGAAGGACTCCATGGCTATAGTGGCCCTTCTCTGATTTGCTCTTTGTCTCCTCATCTTTCTCACAGGGATTTAGCTGGATTGATTTGGTCCCAGTATTAGTAGTACATCCCCTTTCCCTGAATCATGTAATCTAAAGTGTTGGGGGAGGATGGGCACAAAACCCTCTCAATCACTCTCCACCTTATTTTGCTAAGACAAAGCTGCACTTTTTTAAAAAGAAACTTCTATCAGGAAATAAAAATAAAAATGTAAATGTTTTTCAGTAGAGATGCCTTCTATCTTAATCCTGAAATCAGATCTTGGCATATTTCAGTGCCCACACAAATTGTGCATTGTTGGTGAGAGCCTGGAGGAAATGTTAGGATTCTGGCAATTCTTCACTATTCTGTTTTGTTACTGTGTTTTTTGCCCTCTTAGGAATTTATGTATTTTCAAAAGAAAACATAATTAAAGAACTCCAGTATCTAATATTAATGAGAAAGTGGGTAACATGACAATATATTACTCTATGCTAAGATCTGCAAAGAATCTGGCAAGGAATCTGGTAGAAAACTATAATTTTTAAATTAGTGAAGTACATTAGAATACATTTTTAATCCATACTTGTATAATAGCACCATTTGACCCATGTACTTAAAATATTCGACAAAGTGATTGTACAAACTCGTGCTGAGTTCCCTCTGAATTCCAATCAAAGTGGCCTGAGAACAACAATGTCCAAGGGGCTTTGTCTGGTTGCTTTTCCGTCCTTATCTCTGGCAATGCTGATGCTCAAACAATCTGCCCAGGTGTAGTGAAGCCATTATCATTTTTCACTGCTCTTCTTCCTCTGTCTCCTCCTCCTCTTCTTTTTCCTTCATTTCATCCTCCCCCTATTTCATTTTTAGGTCCCTGAAATCCATCTGGTCCTGGAGGAATTACACATTCCCCTTGTAAATCTGAGGTTCCTCAAACCCTTGACTGCTGTAGACCCTTCTTCTGAGGATATCTATGACTTTGGAATCCTGGAAAATTAGCCCTTACCCTGGAAACATTGCTGGAATTTGACCTAACTCAGAATTGAGTTGACTGACTGGCAAAACTTAGCTTAAGTGATGCCCTGGGCAATTTCTTACCAGAGACCCTGGGAATTGAATGACAGATACCCCTTCCCTGGAGTCTGTATCAGTTGCATTGAGGTCCTCCTCTAGCTAGAATCTTTCAAGTCTCTTGCTTAAGAACTTATTTCTCCTTTAAAGTTGAGGAATGTCTCCCAGCCCCAATTAGTCCACAAATAAGAGAGGGATAACATAGTCTGAGTCCTATGAACAACCCTGTGTTTCTATTTCAGGTTATTCTCTCTTGTAACAAAGATCTTTGCTAAATCCCTGAGGAGCTTCAAGGAAAGGAATACAGTGGCCCTTCTCTTTCTGCAGAAATGTGTGAGGGCAAGAGGAGGCTTGTCTTAATAGATATACCTCCTTACTGCTTAATCCCCAGATGACAATCTTCTTATCCTTAAACTAGAGGCCCGGTGCACGGATTCGTGCACTGGTGGGGTCCCTTGGCCTGGCCTGTGGGGATCGGTCCAAAACCGTCTCTCTGACATCCCCTGAGGGGTCCAAGATTGCGAGAGGGCACAGGCCAGGCCGAGGGACTCCAATGGTGCACAATTTGGACCAGGGAGGGACCGTGGAAGGGCTCCAGGGCATGTCCGGCCTGTCTTGCCCAATCCCAATCGGCCAGACCCCAGCACCCCATCAGCAAGCTAACCTACTGGTCCGAGCGTCTGCCCCCTAGTGATCAGTGCGTGTCACAGTGACTGGTCAAATGGTCGAACAGTTGGACACTTAGCATATGAGGCTTTTATTATATAGGATTGTACAGTCCAGTTTAAGATAATCACTTTCATCACACAGGTCAATGAAGTGATATCAAATGGAAAGAGAGGTGACAATCAGGAGATGTGAAGAAGAAGGCCTTAGACACAAGGGTGTGCCATAGAGGCATATCTTAATCTTTTGGATTAGGGACTACCCAGTAAGGATCTAACCACCCTGTCAATTTTGTATTGTCTTGAGTCTACATTGCTTGTAGTAATAATTGTGAGATCCTGAGATAGGATACTGACATGATAGGTTCCTTGTCTTTCTTAAAATGTGGACATCTAGCATCATACCTAGTAACACTTGTCTTCCTAAGGCTTTTGAGTCCATCTGTGCAGATTTCATTTTGGTTAATTTCATTGTCTTCCAGCTTTCATCTAAAACGGCTAGAACACTTTAAGCCCAATCAGTTGATGAAGGTCATTTACTCCTTACCAATTAGAAAATAAGCTACATTGCTTCTGGCTGAGAATTCTATACACATTTTTCCAAAGGCTTGATGGGGCAGATCACCAGGAAGGAAGACTCCAAGAAACCGGAGAAAGAAGATAAAAAAGAAGAAAACATCTCGTGTCCACTCAGACTTTTATTTTTGGTGTTTCTAAATTTAAATGTGTGCTCTTCTTCTTCTTCTTTTTAAATCTGCGCTCCTTTTCCATATCACTGGCAATATCTAACGAGGCCACTCTTATTTTGTGTCTTAAAGAAATCCGGTAATGATTTCTAAATAATCTGAAGCGGGGAGCTTTGTAAAGCTTTTTGAAACAATTTGAGTTGGCATTCCAGGTCACCAATACTGTGAGATATAGATTTGAAATTAGATTGTTGGTGGTGGTATTGAAAACAGAGGGCTTCAAATGTTTACTTATTCTCTTTCTTTCATACTGTGTGATTCTGAGGGCTCTTAAACCATGACAAGGAAGAATTTCTCTGAGGATCTAACTAGCGGGCACCCAATAAGCATTTCTAGGAATTCAGGTTTAAGGAACCAGGGAGATCTGATTGAGAAATAAGATTTTTACACAGAGAGCGGAGGATAAGCAAGTAAAACCGGTGTGTGGAGTTTGGTCAAAGAAATGTAGAGCTCTTAGAGGTGAGCAGACATGGGTTTTCCATCCTGCTCAAACGCACCCACAGCCTGAGATCCGCGATCAAAGTATATCTGTGTTACACACGAAATGAAATGAGTGATGGCAGCTGCGGAGAGACCCAGGCAGCGCGGGCTCGGGTTCTGCCGGGTGATCCCGGTGGACACAGGCTCCAAGGTAACAGGGCGGGGAGGCGTTCCAGGAGCGCAGGGCTCCTCCCGGCCTCCCCAGTAGAGTGGCTTGAGTGGGCTCGAATCTTCTGAAGCTGCCAGTTGCCAAATGAAATCTGAAACCCTGAGCTGCGTCTGTGGGTTGGCCCCGCTCAGTTGTCCCAGCCTCTTGTACTGTATATTTACTCATTCACACACAATCACTCTTTCTAACTTCTGGGACTCTTGATTTGCGCAACTGCTAGGATTTCTCAAGTGCATGTGGCAACCCAGCCGAGCTCCCGGTGGAAACCCGCAGGGCTCCGGAGGGTCTCCCAGGCCCCGGGAGCTGTCAAGGCTGCGGAGGGAACAGTAGAGGATCGAGGCTCAGGCAGCTTGGGGGGAAACACCCACAACTTTCCACCCCAGCCGCAGCTTTCTCGGCCCAGAGAATTTCCTCCGAAACCACAGCTGCAGAGCAACTAAGTGCATGGCGCGCAACACTTCTTCTCGTGGGAAGTAAAGGAGCCGTCCCACCCCCTTTATCTCTTTTGCTTTTCTTTCGGCTGGTCCTCGGAGCCTTTTCCTTCCTCCGTACAGCATCTGTCGTGCGCAAGGAGCAGGGTAGGTGACGCGGCTACTGGGGAGCCCACCGGAGCCACCTCCGGAGGCTGGGACGCGGCCTTGGGGGAGCGCGGGGGTTGCGGCACAGCTGCCAGGGACAGGGGAGTGGAGGGGGGGAGGGGCGCGAGGGCGAGGGAGGATGGTGTGTGTGTGTGTGTGTGTGTGTGTGTGTGTGTGTGTGTGTGCTGGTGCTTGTGTGTGTGTATGTGTGTGTGTGTGTCTGTGTGTGTGTGTGTGGTTGTGCGCGCGCGCGCACGTGATGGGAAACAATGCTCCTTTTAAAATTCTTTTTAAAAGGATAAAAACGGCGCAAGCTGGTAGTATGTGTTTACGTTGATAGAACTAATGGAAAAAACCTACATAGTGCAGTGCCCTCTTACTATCCAGCCTCCTGTTCTCCCTGCCTGTTTCCGTTAGTGTCTTATGTTAGAGTTTTCCTGGATAACAGACATACAGAAGTAGGCTTTAATAATACACACTTTCATTGCAAACACAAAACGTTAGGGAATCGTTGGTGAGTTTTAAGACACCCAAAAGGGTTTGTCTAGAGTTTGCAAACACAACTTTTGAGGAAGTAGCCATCCTCTCTTGAGGACAAGAAGTAATATATTCTCATTAAAAGGATACTTTAGACTGCGTTTCTAAGTCCCCAAATAGGAAGGGAGCGAATGTTACTCTGGATTCCTTAGCTTTTTAATACCAAATAGTAATGCAGAGACCAGACTCCCTTGTAATCTGTTTTAATTCATTTGAATTAGAAGATAATCTCCAAGTAATGCTTTCATCATAGTTTATCTTGTCACTCTTTTTCAAAAAAAAAAAAAAAACCCATAAAACACCTGGCAAGACATCATTATTCCATCTCTTTCTAAAAAGAGGAAATAATATATCATGCTGGGTATTGGAAATATAAAAGTTACAAAGGGTTTGTTTTTCCATAAGTAAAACAATATGTGCTGCTGTGTCTACTAAGTAAGACAAATTAATTGGAATCCAGGGATATTTACAGTGGAGTTAAGAGGTTTACTCAATTACGGAGAAGAAGATGGACAGATGGATTAAATTCAACCAGTCCCCTGATTCTCATTAGAATGTAAAACCAACCCTTAAGGGCAAGGATGGATGTTGGTATTAAACTGGACATCATAAAACATAAAACACACAGAGTTACTATATTAGAAAAATCCAGAAAACAGGTATTAAGCTGCAAAATACTTGTTAAAATCTCTCTCTCTCCCCTTTAAATTTCTTAATACTTCCTCTTCTCTTGGGATATTTGAACTTCTAAGAGAGCCCAATACTACAGTTCTCCCTTTGCCTTCTCTGAATGCCTGACCTTCAGGAAGCAAGTCCAGAAATCTTTTCTTGTTAGGTTCATTGCTGAATGTCAAAGAATTGACAAAACTTAAAAATAAATAATATCTTCCTATCCCCCAGAGGAGGTATGCTCTTGCTGGAAGAAGGGACAGACTGAATTTTTAGATCTGGAATTTAGTTGGAGTAAGGAGTACACAGGTAGCATGATAAAAGGAAAGAAAATCTATAATCCTTTCTACATGTGAAAGGCTGTTGAAAGTCAGTTTGTCCTTGTCTTTCAATTGCATTACTTGGTTTTCTTATTTAATCTCAGGGGTTTGGATTTGAGAGGGGGATGGTTTCTCAGTGATGCTCTTTGGGCTGTAGTATATACTGTGAATTTGAACCATCTTAAAACTACAAACCTGAGAGTAAGTGGGGAAGAATTAAGTTCTTAAGAAAAAACAATTCACTGCAGAACGAACAGCAATGCATCCTTCCAGACAAGAGCGTAGATTTAAGTGTAAAAGTGAAAAGTGTTCTTGGCTGAAGTCCCCAGGGAAAGCCTTTTTGGTTTTGCCTGGGATAGTAATGGCTACAGCTCTGAGAATTTTCATCCAGGCACGATTTTATGTAATGTGTGATCTTGGGCTCTCCAGGGTGAAGGGTAGGGGTTAAGGGAAGTGGGAGGTGGGACAGGAAGAGTGAGGAATGTGCAGCAGGTGGTACTGAGTGGTTTGGTTCTGATTGCATTGCTGTCTTGGCCAAAAGCCTACTAGATGTTTACAAACACTGCTCCGAGTCATTTTGCTGTGACCTAATGGCCCAAGGAGTGAAGTGTGTTTTCTTTCTGGCTCTGTTAGTGCCCAGGTTGGTTTCTCCGGGCTGAAACCTGGCGGTGCTGCTGCAAATTCCAGGCCATGCATTTGGTTCCTGTTCTTAGTGTTTGCCATTGGATCATCTTAGTTACCTGTGGTCATTCTTCTGTGGTATTTTCTGGCCATTGGTAAAGGGTTCTTTTCCCATGAGTTGGGCTTAAGTAATGCTGATTCCTCTTTTCTGTCATGTTTCATTTTTTTGGTAAAGATGTGCTTTGGAAAAAAGAAGACGGAGGTTGTGGCTGGAGCTTCAGTTTGGAGCCCAGTAGAAGGACTACCATCCAATTGGTTACACATGGGTGGGAAGGAGGTTGATGATAATAAGAATATGAAGCATTCATCCTACACTGAGGGAAAAAGCAGAAGAGAGTTAAATTTTTTTTAAAAAAATTCCTGTTTGCTCCAACATTCATGGCTAAAGGATTATATTTTCTCCCTAAATAGAGGAAGGTATTTAAAAACAAAATTATAAGTAGTCAACTCAGTCATGAAGTTAATGCTCTTCATGTGAAGAGTTGGAGCCTTATATTGAGTCTCTCAGTGGTAAACCCTCTGTCTCTGCCACAGGAACTCAAACTTTACAAGATTATGGTGGTTTTAGCAGCTAAGTTAAGGTGCATTTGGAAGTGGAATGCTTATTGTGATGGAGGCAGAGAATGTTCAGATTTTGGAAGTTATTGTGTACATGTATGCTTTTAAGTAGCATCTTCACCCTACCCTGACATTGCTATAATTCCTCTATAAAAAGTGCAGATTTAATTGTGTAAGTCCCTGATCTAAAATCTTTGGTGGATCCCAATGAACTATGTTAACTCTAAACTCTTTAGCATAGTGACTAAAAGCTCTTTAAAGCCGTGCCTTTTTAGCTTCCTCTTCCTATCAAGGGCCCCTCACACTGTTCACACTTTTGATTTCTTGCTCATGGATATTCATTCTCCTGGAATTCTCTCTTCTTGGAAAGTCCCTCTTGATTCTTGATGGTCTATTTCAAGTGGAATTTCTTTTTGTAGAATGTACCCAGTTCCCTGCAGAAAGAATTAATCATTTCATCTTGTCCATTTCCATGGTGTTTTGAACACACTTTGAATAATAATTTTTTCGCCTCCTCCCTTACTAACTATAGTAAGTTCCTTAATGGGTGGGTTTCTGGAGGAGGACCCACCTGTATCCTAGTGTCCAGCCAGTGTCTGAAATACATAGTAGACATCTGTCAATGTTTCCTCAATAAATGAGCAAGAAAAGTCATGAATGAATAAAGTACTAGTGGACTCTACTTTATGTAGATACTTATTTCCCAGAAGTTTATTTGAAAAATGTCTATTTGAGCTTACGTTTTATTTTCCAAAAGTAACAATGCTACAAAACATATCTAAATTTCAGCACAAGTCTCCACATGCCTGTTTAATTCCTATAACAGATGAAATATTGTGTTTTGCAATTATAAAGCAAAAGCAAAACGTAACAGAAAGCTACTGTGGAATCATCTTTTTCTTCTGGAAATCACAAAACATACTCGAGCTTTAAGATAAAAGAAACAGTTATAATAGATACAAATTTTCCACAATTGTTTTTTATATTATACTATAAAATCTGTAATCTATCAAATCCCAATGGGAGGTCCTGGATTTGGCCGTGAGGACCGATGATGGAGTTAAATTGGGAGATGCTGTTGCCTGTGGAACGGGCAAAATTTTAATCACACAAAATAGAAACACTAATTTTGTCTATTTAATAATTATCTTGAGTGCTAGTGCTTGAGGGAAACTGGATTTAATTAAAGGAGAATGTGGAGGATGGAGAGGAGGAAATTCAGAGGGCCACCTTCTTTCATGATACCAATTCATTATTATATTGATTTTCTTTTCATCTCATTTAAGCACTTAGGCAAATTCAAAGTTTCTATGAAAAAAACAATAACAACTGTTTTCTCTACAGTTATTTCTGCTTCCTAACATATAGAAGGGGGTTGCACTTTATTTGAGCAGTGATACTTCTGTCACTTGTATACCTTCTGTGTAGCATTTGGATAATTTTTCAATTAAGAATACATACTACCTGTGTCTCCAGCTCTAGTCAGGTATCTTAAGCTCAAATTGCTCTAGTATAATATCTTTCAGAAGACTGGAAGAGCAAGCATTGATATTGAGAGAAATAGTCTACCCAGTTTTCTAAACCTTCCATGCTCTCCATTTTTATCATGATCACAAATTTCCCTACCCTAATTATATTACAACACATTTTTGTTACATTATCTTCATTACACTGTGCTTTACTATAATACTCTACTTTTTACTGAAAGTCAATGCATAAGAGAAGGGCTGCACTTATTATGTTGTCACTTATTTTATGTATTTCAATATTCCTTATATAATGATCTTCATACATTCATCTTTGTTTTTAATGCTTTAAAAAACATGTCTCTTCTGGTTAATTGGTGATGTTTTTTTGGTTAGAAAAAGAGACTAAGAAATCACCAGTTTCCTCATTTTTGGCTTGTCATCCAAGAAGCTGAACTAAACTTGATGCTCAGTTGCATCTTAGTCAAGGTTTCCTGACATACTTTGCCTTGCTTTCATGTACCTGTCATACCCATACCTTTTAAATAAGTTAGCTCCAATTCGTTATGGAAACAGGTTGAATTACCTTCCTTTTGTATTCTTTTAACTCTTTTTTTAGACTTGTACTTAAATATGTGTAAAGTTCTACTTTTTAGTTTTAGGCTAGTGTTTTAGAGCCAATAATTTTTCCTAATCATTTTCAGTGGTTCCTTGAAACATTCTAGGTACTGTTTTTGTATTCTCTGATAAATCAAATGTCCTTGGCAAGAATTTTATATTTCTAGAAAAACCTTAGAAGGAAAATCATGTTTACTTTGAAAGTGTTATAAGACCAAACATGTTAGTTCTTTTCAATATGTATATCACAAATGCATAGAAGGCCGACTTAGGGATATATCTGAAAAACAGTAAAAAAAAAAAAAAAAAAAAAAAAAAAAGGCCTTGTTTTTCTTACAAATGAAACCTATTAATAAATTGAGGCTTACAGAGCTGTAGTTAGGGCTGTTTTATGCTTGTCAAATTGAGTCTTCAGAAAAACAAAGTAATTTTTCAAATTCCCCAAAGCAGGGTTGGGGAAATGGACTCATTTTTGTTCTGAAAAATGTCTCTCTCTTTGAGTTTCACAGACTCTCATAATGATAATCACTCTAATGCAACAATTTTCAACTAGCATGCCGCAGGAATTTTTAAAACATGTAATACCTGACTATTTAGTCAGGGGCACTGACCTCTTTCCCCTTAGATTGTCAAATAAGAAAATGACAATAGCCAATCCAATAGTAGCTGCCCAGTGTGAATGAATCAAAATTATACCAATTTTTTTGTCAGATTGGCAAAAAATATAATTTTTGGTGTACTGCATAATTTTAGTAATTAGTTTATGTATGCCATGAAATGAGAATGGTTGAAAAATCTCTGCTCTAGTGACTTAAGTACCAGGCACTCCATGCGGTGTTTGTTTTTCATATGTCACTTATAATTCCAGAGTAATTAGAAGTAATTAGTAATTCTAGAAGTGAACCACGTTTTATCTAACTCAGATACTATTATTCCTATTGTATGAGAATGTTGAGGCTCAGAGAGATAAAGAAGCTTACCCAAGGTAATGTGATTACTAAGTGATACAGAGTTGAGAATCAAAATGAGGTTCTACCAGAAGCCAAATAGTCTGCTATTGTTACTGTGTGACCTTCCTCACATGCTTTTCTTCTTTTTAGTTATTAACCTGAGAATTATAATCTGTGTGTTCTGTGGGTATAGACCCTGGTCTCAACTTAATCTCCATGCACTGGTCTTCGACTTCTCTTGTGGTTCTTTTAAGTGACAATATTCCTGTCCTGAGTTAGGGTCCTGGGGATGGGTTGCCACCATGAAGATTCTCTTATGAGAAAAGAGGCTCCAGCTACTACAGTCCCGTAACTGAATTAATCTCCAATGATCAGCCTGGCTAGATTTTATTTTCTGTGAAAAGTAAACAGAAAGGGTATGGTCCCTGGGGCTTCTGTGACCTATCCCCATTATTTAATTCCCAGACATGGAGACATATGCTCCAGGAACACTGTGTGTGACCAATGGAGGTAGAGGAATGAGAAGGGGATAGTAGTCCTTGGCCTGAGGACTAGAGACCCAATGCGGGAAAGCTGAAAGATAGAAGGAGAGGGTGGTTTTGTTGGGGATAGCAACTGAGAAGGGGAGAAAATTGAGTTAGTGGTGGCAGTACTCACTGGGCACACAGAAATGAAATGAGCAACGGGGGAAGAAATTTCCAAGCCAGACTCTCTCAAGGAAGGGCATTTACCACAGGAATTGTTGGCATGCATTGCAATCCTGTTTGTAAAGATACCCAGAGAAGAGAATTGTCCATCTTCCTTGAGGGTCATCTGTGCTTGTTTTTGGAGTATCTGGTTTTAAAATGTCCCTTATGAAGGAACTTCCAGCAAGAAAAGATGAGCCAGGGGATTCAAAAGAGCCTGTTGTTATCTTGCTGTACATAATTTCCTAACCCTAGGCTTCAGCTATGTTAGTATTGCCTTCAGAGTTCCATTTTGATTTTGGTATCTCATGAGTTTTTTATTGTAAAATGGTCAAGTGCAATGTTGATAAATTTATATAAACGCATCTATGGGGGATACCAAAGTCTCCAGCCTTCTCGAGTTTTTTTTGTTTTGCTGATTAGAACCTTCACCTTTTGATAACAACTCACACTTTCACCATGGAGTAAATTTTATGTATCTATGGTGTTAAGTTCAACTTGGCAGGTTCCATGGGGGAACCTTGGTCTTTGGTGCCTTGAGATGGGTGGAGGCCACAAGAAATTATCTGGGTGTGGAGTTCCAAGCACTTCTGCACAGCAGATAGAGCTGCAAGAGGAGGATGGATGAGAGAAGGGCAGAGGCAAGGTCATAGGATAACATGTTAGAAACCAAGGAAGCAGAAGAAAAGGCAAATCCAGAGACATCACTGGGAACTAGAAGCCAAGGTAAGGGGAGGCAGTGAATGACGTGGCCATTAATAATTCAGTTTCTTTCTAATGATAAATAACAATTATTAAAGCCTTACTATGTGCTAGTTATGCCAAGCACTTGTCATGGGTTATCTTCTTTAATCCTCACAACTCCCACATAAGTAGGCTCTATTATTATCTCTCTTTTAGAGGTGGGAAAACTGAAACTTGGAGAGGCTTAGTAACTTACCAAAACCACACAGCCACTAAATGGTAGATCTGGGATTCAAAACTAATATGTTTCATTTCAAGGGAGCAATCTTTACCATTATGTTTTGGAATTAGACCTATGTTCCCACCAGGCTCTCATATGCACAAACACTGTGACCTTGGACAAGTTGCATTAACCTTGATTCACACATTGTCTCTCTGGGAATATGGGCATTTAATAAAACCTACTTCATAGTGTTATTATGAGTTTTCAATTTATGGAGTGAGCAATGCATGTACAGACTGGAAGGTTATCTGGCACCTGGTATTTAAACAGTTACTATTATTAAACTAAACGATGAACATGGGAGTACTGAGCAGTATTTTTTAAGCTGTACATCTTGGTCTATCAGTGGTCTTGAAATCAAATTAGTGGCTCATGATCAATGTTTCTTTATAACTGAAAATGAATAAATTAGGCTGGAATACAATAGAAAGAAATCAGGGTTCATTACATGTAGTAAAAGTAAGAATTGTTTCAAATGTTTTAATTTCCGTGTGTATGTGTGTGCATGTGCTCACTGGGTCAAAATGAAAAATGTACTTCTGATATTGATAGCTGTAAAAAAAAAAAAAAAAAGTACTTTTCAAAATGCTTTAAAGTAGCAGTTTTAGAGGTGTGGTCCCAGAACCAGTAGCATTATTCTCACCTATGAACTTGTTAGAAAGGCACATTACCAAGCCCCATCAAGGCCAGCATTTGCGTTTTAACAAGGCCTCCAGGTGATTGAGGACAATTACATATTCAAAAGTGGCATTTGAAAAATCAGGAAAAAAAATTAGGTAAGGGTATATTACATTACTTGTGAGTGGTTAAAAGTACATGATGTACTGGACTGACTAAAAAATTACTTCTCCACAGAATGCTACCCTGTGTTGTGTAACTTTGGTTTTGTGTAGCTGTTTCCCCTATTTTTCTATCCTGCCTGCTCATAGTGCAGGTGGGTAAGCCCCCCAGACATCAATTAGTTTATAGGTAGGAGGCCACTGAGTAGTTAGATCCTGTGCTTTCTTCTAGAACTACAAGATAAACACTTAACATTCTTTGTGAGTAGCCCTGAGCCTTGAATATCTAAGTTGTGTTCAATTTGGAACATTTTAATGATCTAAGTCCAGATGCCACAGCAGCTGTAAGTTAGAAATTTAAATCAAGAATTCATTAAAAAACTGCACCCAATATTTTATTAATTGAGATATTTATTTTGAAAAGCACATACAGACAAGATGATATTTCAATCTAATGAATGTGCAACTAATACTGATGATAAAAAATATTTTGGTAAAAATGGAAGTGACATGAATTTTAAACCAGGGAATGTGTTTGATATTTATTGGTTGTATACCATTACTTTAAAGAGAAAACAGGCACCATTGCATTGACTAGCCTTTGTTCATTATTGTTTTTAATGTAATTTACTGCTGTAATTGATGTTTTGGTTGGAGGGTGTGTTTATTTTAAGACTTAAAAGTATCTTCTTTGATGGGCCTGGAGAATATTATACTAAGTGAAATAAGCTAGTTAGAGAAAGACAAGTACCACATTATTTCACTTATATCTGGAATCCATTGAACAAAATAAACTAACAAACAAAATAGAAACAGACATAGATAAAGAGAACAGACTGACAGCTATCAGAGGGCTAGGGGTTGGAGACTTGGTGAAAAAGGTGATGGATTAAGCAAAAAAACAACTCGTAGACATAGACAACAGTATGGTAATTACCAGAGGGGAAGGTGGGGGAGAAGGAAGATAGAAAACGATAAAGGGGGAATAAATGGTGATGGAAGGAGACTTGACTTGGGGTGGTGAACATACAATATATTATGCAGATGATGTATTATAGAATTGTATACCTATAACTTATGTAATTTTATTAACCAAATGTCACCCAAATAAATTCAGTATCCTCTTTGAAAATATAGCATCCAGATTCACTAGAGAAGAATTGGAAACTTTCTTTTCCATTAAAAATACTATTCACTTGGATTTCTAAAAAGCAGCTTTTCAGTAGGTATGCATGAACTTTTCTTAGTGGTATGTGAAAATATTTTTCAGGATGATAGTGTCAGGAAAAAAGTGTTTCAAGGTAAGAAAGTCTACTTGCTGGCTCACTACAGGCAGAATTTCTTATTTAATCAGTAGCTTGAGATATGTTTTGAAAGATCTTTCTCTACGTTGCATTCTATGATTGGAGAAGGGTGGAAAGGAAAACAGTGAGAAGGGCCTATGCTCTCATTTTACTTCTGGTAATAATTAGCATCTGAACTCAGGCAAATCACTTAGTTTTTCTGGACGTTAAGCTCCTTATCTGTAAAATAAGGAGGTTGGAGTAGATCCTTCCTAAGATTGTTCCAGTCTTGAAAAAGCCTCTGTTGCTAAATGGTAGTGTGTTCTTTTGGGGCAATTTTAATAGAAACGTGGCTATGTGTATACATTGACAGGGCTCAAAAAATGGATGTATGACTTGAGAGAGGAAAGAGGATCTGGAAGCCATATAGATTGCATGAAAAAGTTTAGACCTTTCCTTGACAAGTTTCATTTGCCAATGGACTAGTTTTCATCAGCTGTGGGTTTGGGGCCATGGGTAGACCACTCATTAGGAGGCATTTGAAAATTCCTGAGGATGTTTTTGGTCATCACAATGACTGGATGAAGCTACTAGCATTTAGTGCCCAGGGGTGCATTAGTGCAATGTGTGTGACAGTCCCTCTCTACAAAGAATTTTCCCTCCCCAAAAGCCGAACACATCCCCATTGAGAAACTAGCTAATGAAGTTCAAGGACAGAGTTTCAACTCCATTTTTTGTAGTTCTGTGGGAAATTAGAAGTGAAGTCTTACACTTTCTGCTGTTTCAGTAACACAAATGCAAACAATATCTATTCTTAGATGACAACTGGTGTTTATGATGCATGGGAGAGCGCAGCCTCTAGCTCCCTGCACTATATATTGACTAAGCAGTAAGAAAAGCAGTCAAAATCTCAGCTCTGCTAGTACGGTGTGCAAATATAACTTGAAGACATACTAGAAATAGTTCTTTTGAGTATGAAGTTACTAGTTTCCTAATGACCACCGTATTTTACATGAAATGGCTTACAGAAGTTTCCATTCAACGTAACTAGACATTTCTTGTGTTCAAATAAATACCATGATTAAGGCATTAAATGCGTAGATTTGATTCTCTATAAGAACTACCACTTGCTTAACAGCTAGCTCTATGCATGATTATGAGTGATAGGAGCATTTCCTGTTCCTCCTCTGAGCTCCCCTGCACTTGGCTTGGCCTTATATGTTCTGGGTCAGGTAAGAGTAGAGCCCAGTCAGCAAGAGTGACTCATCTAGGGCTGTCTCAAGAACCCAGGTAATGTTTTCAAATTGGAGATGAATTTTGTTTGGAATCACTTAGTAAATCATAGGATCAGTTCCTTAAATTACTTTTCTCTCATCTTTCGCTGTGTATTTGTCAAGTTTTTGGTTAGTTAATGTGTGTATTTATGACTGCTTATATTCAGCTTTTAGGTAGTGTGAGTATAGAAGGTGTATGGATAAAATTGTCTAACAAACCAAAGTCAACTTGTATTTTCCAGGAGTGAAAGGGAACCCCTGCTGCTCCTTTCTTGGTTGAACCTGGGCCTTAACTATCTCTGAAGGGAAAGGAGGTGATATTGAAATCCTGTGTAACTTTTCTTTTCCTATACATTTGGTACAAATTTAGATTTCAGGAGAAGGTTGAAATTACAGAATTAAGAACATGTTTTGGGTATTCTTCCACATTTATTACCTGTGCAAGGCCTCCACAATTAACAAATTGGAGGTTACATGCTACATTCCCCTTGGAATGAATTTATTAGACCTCACAACAAAAGCCCACTTAGAAAACAGGTATAACCATCTTACCTCAATCTTTTAATATGGAAAATGAGTCCAAAGTGATTTAGGTGATTAGCCCAAAACACAGACTTTCTGTAATTGATTTTCCCCTGTTTACCTTTCTCTGAGACAATTAAACCAAAATCAAACCCAGATGCTAAATTAAACCCAATTTAAAAATAAAAAATATTTTAAAAATTAATTAAATTGAAGTTTACAAAGCTAAAAAAATTGAAAACCAATTAAAAATTAAAACTAGAAAATTAAAAAAAATTAAAAAAAATAAAATTAAAACCAAATGCTAGCATAAGGAATCCAATGCATATAATGAATTACTTCCTGTGGTCTGCAACTTGAAGGGTATTAGTTAAGTACCATCTGGCAAACTTGAAAAGGAGTCATGATTTTCTGTGTTCTATCGTTTGGGTAAGGAATTATGGCTGAGAGTAGAGCGAGTGAATCTGTAATTAACATTTTAAAAAGCATTTCTGCCGAGACCGGTTTGGCTCAGTGGATAGAGCGTCGGCCTGCAGACTGAAAGGTCCTGGGTTCGATTCCGGTCGGGGGCATGTACCTGGGTTGCAGGCATATCCCCAGTGGAGGATGTGCAGGAGGCAGCTGGTCGATGTTTCTCTCTCATCGATGTTTCTGACTCTCTCTCTCTCTCTCCCTTCCTCTCTGTAAAAAATCAATAAAATATATTTAAAAAGCATTTCTACTGAGCCTGGATTAACTCGGAAGGCAACTGAAAAATATGCCAGAGTAAAATCAAGGTGTAACTTGTAACACTTTCTGTTTTTTGGTACATTTTAAGCTAATCTCTTGTAATATTAATTGTGTTGAACTCATTTAATGTGAATATCGTCAATGTGCTATAGATTTTCATTCAATTTAGTCT